GGGTTATTGAATATGAACCAACAAAGAGGATCTAATGTAGTCATAAGGCTTTAAATATATAAGCACTGATATATTATATGTCATATTTATATGACAATAACTATCATATAAGCACTGACAGTTCTCAAATTCATATTTCTACCCCAGATTTTCCCCTGGGATGTCTAACAGACATCTCAAAGCTAACACTTTCAAATTTGAGCTTTTGACATTCTCCTCCAAATCCAATCCTCTCAGTCTTTCAAATCTCAGGGGATGGAAACTCTATTCTTCCCATTGCTTAGGTCCCCAAAGTTGGGAGTCATTTCTACCTTTCCTATCTTATACCCAATTCACCTGCAAATTCTGTTGGTTCTACTTTCAAAATATATCCAGAAACAGATCATTTCTCACAACCTCTACTGCTCACCACCCTGGACCAAGTCACCACCATCTCTTGCCTAGATTATTGCAACAGCTTTCCTGAGAGGTCTGCCCTTGCTCCTCTATACACTATTCTCCATAGAGCAATCAGAGTGGTCATATTAGAACTGCAGTCATACGTTTGGATAAGACCCCCTAATAGCTTCCCATGCTAGAGGAAAACTAAAGTCCTTATGATGGCTGTTGAGGTTTACATTATCCCTGACCAATCTCCTAACTTCTCCCTCCCTTACTTTGTCCTAGTCACACTAGCCTCGGTACTTTTCTCAAATATACTAGACATGTTACCACCTCAGGGCCTATGTACTTGTTCCTTCTTGCTGGGATGTTCTTCTCCTTATATATTCTTCTGGCTTCCTCCTCCATCTCCTTCAGATCTTTAGCCAAATGTTATCTTTTCAATGAGGTCTTCCTCAGTCATTCTACCTAGAATCACAATCCCTACTCCCAACAATGCTGTCTGCTTTCTTGACTTTATCATTTCCCTTATCTAACATATACAGTGCATTTCACTTGTTTATCTTGCTCCATGCCTATTTCTCCCACTAGAAAGTAAAGCTCCATGATGGTGAGGATTAAAAAATTTTTATTTCCTACTCAGTACCTAGTAACTAATATATGATAGCTGGTCAGTAAATAAACTGGTTTATTATGATAAACCATATAATTATGATAAACCATATAATTATGATAGCTGGTTGAGTGAATAAACTAGGAAGGAAGAGAGGAGGAAAACCAGGATTATAAGGTTTGCTGGAATGAGAAAATAAAACTTTTCAAGAAGAAAAGATAACACTGGTGCATTTTTTACTTGAGTCGCATGTGTTTATTTGAGATGTACTAAGTCACATTAGTATGACCTGCACACCATTTTGGCATCGAGAGTTCTGAATCAAAGTAAGGGACCGAAGGTCCCCTGAGCAATGCCACTTCTTGACCCACCATCGCATATCATGGAATCAGGGGGTAAGAATGGAGAACGGATGGTTCAGCTGATGGTGGTGAAAGGAACTAATACACACTACCTTCCTACTGTGTGCCAATAATTATGCTATGTTATACAACAAATATTTACCACATGCTTACCATATGCTAGCACTATTTTAAGTACTAGAGTTCCAAAGTGACTCAATTCCCTGATATGCCAGGAAATAAAACATTAGAACTTCGTTAGATCAAAGAGAATGAATATAATAATAGATGTATTGTACATATCAACATAACACAACATAAGCCCAACAGCAAAGAGCAAGTAACCCAACAGCAAACATAAACTCTGCTTAGGAAGGTCAGAGGAGGTTTCAAGGAGGTAGCGATGTTTGTTGGAGACCATAGAAAAATCAGTAGAGACTCACCAAGTAAGGGAACTCAATGGGTAGAGGGAAAAACTATTGTTTGTAAAACTTTAAAGTTTCAAACAATGAACATCAGTAGAAGCCTAAGAGCCTACCAACCCCAAGCCCAAACAAGAGCCTACAAACCCCAAGCTTTAATACAGTCTTGTCAGTCATATAAAATTGGAAACAGGAGAGAAGAAGAAGCCTGGGACTGGAGTTGATTACAACTTCTGTTGCTTGCTTGGAATAGACAGCAAAGAATGAAACAATACTTAAGCTGTATATCCTCTCAAAACAGTTTGACTACAGCACCACTCAACCTAACCATATTTGTGCCTTGGGAGTCAAAAATCAGGTTATTATCTCCTCTGTTTCATTGGGTAAGAGGGATGGGGTGGAGGTAGACTTCCATTCCCCCAACCTAAACATGACTTAAGAGCTTGATTAGATTATAAGAGGGAAAAGGAAGAAAAGAGGATTCTGGGTGATTTCTGGTTTGGTCTACTGTGTAGAGAGTGATGAGTATATTGTCTGAGATTTAAGACAAGGAGATTATATAAGAGGAAGATAAGCCCAGTTTGGGGCATTTTAATTTTGAGACGTTTGTGTAGCACTAAAATGATGTTTCTAGTTGTAACTTGGAATACAGTTAAGAAGGCCAGGAGATAGGTTAGGATCTGCCATCTAGGAGATCACTCATCTCAAAAGTAATTTCAATGAAGTGATGGGACACAGCCTAAGACAAATGAAATTGGGAAGGTGGCAAGTCTGGACCTGTTCAGCACCTGGTCCCTGGAAAACTTACCCCAATGATGGCATGTTAGAAGGCCTTCTGATGATACCACTTGGCCCAGATGCCAAACCTCTATGCACATATTTCTTCCCTCCTACCAGGATTTCTCCCCAATGGTCAACCATCCTAGACTTAACATCTATCATTAAGTGAACCACCCCAAATATCAAATTATCAGAGTTTTTATTGTTTACACATCACTACTTGTTTCATTTATCTCCAAACATGTTCAAGTTTTCTCTTTCAAAACACACAAGCACACACACACACAAACTGCTTTTCTATTAGCTACTGAACTCTCTCTCCTCTTTAGTTCACAGCCAGATCTTTTAAATAGCTTCCATTTGCAGTTTACACTTCCCATCTACTCATTTTTGCCTTAAATCCTTTCTATTTGGGTTCTGTTATAACCACATTAAAAAGTGTCTCTAAATTCTGCCAATGACCTACTTCTTGCTAAATCCAGTGACCTTTTCTCATATGCCATCCTTTATAATCTCTGTGTAGAATTTGACAGTGCCTTAAATTTCTCTTTTCTCTTGAACTTTGCTCTCCTGGTTTTTGTTTTTTTTTTTCCTCCCCAATTTCTTTAACTTTTTTTGATTCATCCTTTCATTTACGCACTCATTCAACAAATACTAGACACTGAGTTTTTTAACTCTTAAAATGTGTCATCATATGTGAGATAAAGTAGATGGGTTGGGATTCAAGCAAACTCATGGGAAACTAATAGATTAATGGAGGTTTGCCTGGGAGCATAGAATAAGAATAAGAAGTGTTATTCATACAATTCAGATTTTGCTCAATGACACTAGGTTCTGATGTGCTGGTAAATCACTCCCACATAGGACATATATACATACTCATACTTATCACGTACACCAGACCCTTCACTGTTCTTTTCTATTCCCTCTTCTGATCTACACATGCTTTATTTATATATATTAATCCCACAGCTCATTCATCTTCATATCTTTCTCAGTTAAGGAACTTTTCTTTCTACTTTTTCTATCTATGTGACCTTCAAAATGTGATTTAACCTCCCTGTGTCTAGTCTGCAAATAAGTATTAAGCTGCTATTTTTTAAGGTGACTTAACATATTTTGATTGTCATCCTTCTACATGTTTATGCTAAAGTCAAACTTTTTGATGATGATAATAATTATAATGGCTAACATTTATCACACACTTAATATGAGCCAGGCATTGCGACAAGTACTATGTCATGCAACAGCCTTATGATGTTGATTATTCTTATTTTATAATCATGCTACTGAAACTCTAGCATGTGATACATGGCTGTGAAGTCTAGATTCTATCACTAAATTCCTTGATTATACATTCTTTTTTTTTCCATTTATTTTTATTAGTTGGAGGCTAATTACTTTACAACATTGCAGTGGTTTTTGTCATACATTGAAATGAATTAGCCATGGATNAGCTTTTTGATAGCAGCCATCCTGACTGGCGTGTAATGGTACCTCATTGTGGTTTTGATTTGCATTTCTCTGATAATGAGTGATGTTGAGCATCTTTTCATGTGTTTTTTTTGCCATCTGTATGTCTTCCTTGGAGAAATGTCTGTTTAAAGGATTAATCTCAAAAATATACAAGCAACTCCTCCAGCTCAACTCTATACATTCTTTTAAAAAACTTCATGTTTTCTTTAATTAACTCTTATTTAATTAGGTCACGCTAAATTTGTGTATAAAAGCAGAGTAAATTCTTGCAGGTGAGAAAACTGTCAAAGAAAATGCTTCTGTAGATGATAGGAAAAATACAGGTTGGCTACAACTGTGAAAGGAAATAGGACAAAGTTCTAGATAAATGCTGGGATTATACAAGCAAAGGAAAAAAAAGATTTGCTGGTTTTGTTTGGCAACTTCTTTCTTAATACTGCTGTATATGAAACTCTCTTTCTTTCCACGTTCCCAACCCTGTTACGTCAGCATCTGTCCTCGACCAGCTTGGCCACTGAGCTCTGTTTGCTGCCCCGGTTCTCCCCAGTGTACCTCACGGCTTCAGTTAAGGGCCTAGAAGGAAATGCTTCAGTAAGACAACAACAACAAAATTGCAGAGCAAGACAGGTAGAACACTTGAGCTTGCCTGTAAATGGAGTGTTTTGATAGAATTAGATTTAATCCTTATTTTGGCAGTGACGTGTGTGGTACACTGGCCAGGAAAGGAAGGAGAGGTCTGCATAGCAAATGGCACGTTTCCATTGTTTATGTTCAGCATTTTAATAACATTAGTATTTGCACAGCTGAAGGAAAGGAAAGCACCCTGAGGATAGACACCATGAGGAACTCCAGAAGTCTGCTAACCAGAAAAACATTAGTTGGGAAAGAGCCATAAATGTTAATAAGCAAAAAGTACCTGAGCCAAGATAAACCTAGTATCGGGATACTAAATTCCAAAAGGACTCAATAAGGAGCACACTGAAATGATTATTTTGACAATTCTTAACTCTACTTTTTTATTTTTATCATGAAGGTATCAATACAGAGATATTCAGAGACAGGAAGTTGGAGATTTCTCCACAATATAGTGAAAACACAAAAGGCTTTAAGTGAGAAACAGCTTTTAATTTCATCTTTGCAATTTATAAGTATGATACATGTGGGACTTGACTTAATCTCTCAGGACCTCAGTTTCCTCATCTGCAAAACAAAAGAAATACCTAGTAAATATTAACTAAAAAAGAAGTTGTAACAGTTCCTTTTACTATTAGTTGGTGCCCTTAGGCCTCTGTCTTGCAATATCTCATTTTAGCTAGTAGGACGATCACCACAGCTTTGGTTATAACTATTCTGCCCTTGCTTTGGGCCAGTAGGGAGATCAATTATAAACTGGATCTTATTCATTATAGGGAAATAGAAACCATGGAAGGCATGGCAAGCCAACTAGCTATTAAGGAGAATGCACAGGGCTTTTGGGCTTCCCTGGTGCCTCAGCTGGTAAAGAATCAGCCTGCAATATGGGAGACGTGGGTTCAGCCCCTGGGTTGGGAAGATCCCCTGGAGAAGGGAAAGGCTATCCACTCCAGATTTCTGGCCTGGAGAATTCCCTGGACTATATAGTCCATGCGGTCGCAAAGAGTCAGACATGACTGAGCAACTTGGGCTTCCCTGGTAGCTCAACTGGTACAAAATCCACCTGCAGTGCAGGAGACTCCAGTTCGATTCCTGGATGTGGAAGATCCGCTGGAGAAGGGATAGGCTACCAACTCCAGTATTCTTGGGCTTCCCTGGTGGCTCAGCTGGTGAAGAATCCGCGTGCAATGCAGGAGAGCTGGGTTCAATCCCTGGGTTGTGAAGATCCCCTGGAGAAGGGAAAGGGAGAATTCCATGGACTGTATAGACCACTCCTATGCTGCATTCCACAATCAGTCTAACTGCTGGGCCTGTGGAGTGCTCCCCTCTCGATCAGTGGAATGCTTCCCATGGTTGGCATCTCTACTTCAAGGAAAGGACGTTCTCCAAGTCTGTGAATACCTTTGACAACAACAATCATATGTGATGCCTCTTCTTAATCTGATGATATCTAACAGTCCTTAAATGGACTTGTGCAACACTCTGTACTTCTACTGTGGACATAATGTGACTGTTAACTTTGCTAATTATTCTGTTTTTGCTGTTTGCCTCCTACATCTGTTAACAGTGTGACTGGATTTGTTTCCAGCTGCAGGAAGGCTTTTAAGTTACAAATGGGTGCTCAAACTCCTGCCACTGTGGCAGCTTCCTCCAACTACTACTTGGGGCCCCTGGATCAGAGACCCTCAATATGAGGGTTAGGAGAATATGTTGCCTCACCAATTTAGGGATGACGCCCCTTTCCCTAGGCAACATAATTCTCCTAAAAGAAAAGGAGGGAATGAGAGGGTAACAGATAGGAAGGCTAGGGGTCTCCAAATGGAGGAAATAGGCTACAAATGTCAGACATTTTTTCTCTCTCTCTCAAGCGGCAGGAGGAAACAAACTGTAAGTGTCAGATTTTGGCTTCCCTGATAGCTCAGTTGGTAAAGAATCCACCTGCAATGCAGGAGACCCCAGCTCAATTCCTGGGTTGGGAAGACCCCCTGGAGAAGGGAAAGGCTACCCACTCCAGTATTCTGGGGGCCTGAGAACTCCATGGACTGTATAGACCATGGGGTTGCGAAGAGTCGGACATGACTGAGAGACTTTCACTTCACTTCACAGGGATTTTTGCAGAAACCAAAGACAGCCTCATCAGCTGTGAGTTTTTTTTACACATTTTTTTATCCTCTCAAATAGATTCTTTCCTCCCACCCTGTCCGAGACCCTGAGGGCTGGTAAAGAACTGGTCACCCCGTTAGACAGGCCGTTCAGCACTAGCCTGGGGGCTGCCCTGTTTGGGTTCTGTGTGCTTTAATCCAAAACTGAGCCTCAGTGATGGTAATGTGCTGCCTGCCCACCTAGCAGACAGTCAGGCCCCACATCCTGGGCCCCCTCCCCCTCCCCTGGATCCTGCCCTACTCTCCAACTGCCCACAGCCACCGATATAGACCGAAAATGGGACAGGAGAAACACAGAATTAAAAAAAAAAAGAAAAAGTGCTCAGTCAGAGGAAGATCAATGTAGGCCTTGTTTACCACTCTAAAAGGGCTCATGTTTACCACTGGCTGAATAAGCTTGTCTTTCATGGGTCCTCAAGGTGTAGACTTTTGCTGGGTGGTATATAGGCAGTAAAATTCACTTTATTTTTTAAGATTAACTTAATATTTTTTTGTCTTTTGGCAAGTGCTAAAACAGTTGGAAATGCAACTGTGGCAGGCCCAGAAATGGAAAGAATTTGGTTATAGGGGTGTTGAAAAGCTCTGTCAAGAACTTCCTTAACTAGCCTCCTAAGGCACCAAATTTCACCATTAGAATCCCATTATTTTGCCTACAATAAAAGATTTTATCATTATCTTTAGCACCAATTAGATCAAAATACTTAGGCCTTGAGGGGACAATAAAGTACCACTCTGTTTAAGTTGGGATGCTGAGTAGGGCCGGTGCAGTGCTGGGGCCCCGGGCTAAGAGAGACTCCTTCCCAGTGTACAGTACGCACAGGTGCAGTGGGGGGATCCAGGGAGGGAGGCAGTCCTGGGTCCAGAGGTGAGGCCGTCGGGCCTGCAGACAAAGAAAGATGGCAATATGACAAACTTGAGGGAAGTTTAATCTAGAGCCAGACCTCTGTGTAGAGGAAACAGGATTATATTAACTGTGACTTGATTTAAAATTCAAATGCACTGGCTTTCAGAGAGGACTATCTAAAAATGCAGAATAATAACCATTAAAGGTCTTTTTAAAATTTAGCTGTTGTGTCATAAAGCAATCGGATAGTATAACTATCTTAAAGCTACAATACTAGTGACTAATTCTTTCTTCTTTTCAGAACAAATAATAACTCAAAAACCAGAAGGCTATCAGAGATATGTATAAATGAGTTTAAAATAAAAGGCAAAACAATTTTAGGTGTCACTGAGAAATAAAAACAAGTAAGTTCTATTCTTCAAAGCTTTTAAAATCTTTTAAAATAAACTTTTTTCATTTTGGAAACCAAAATCAACATAGTAATTATTGTCTTTTAAGGAAACCATTTCAACCTTTAAACTGTATAGAACACAAAATTGGGAACATATAAAGGTGACCAAGTAGGAAAACCATCTTTCTAAATATATTTTATTTTTTTACTGAATAATGCAGTTGACTGTTCTAAGGTTTTAAATCCTTTCATATTGCAGGAATAAAATAGTAAAAGGAAAAATTAACTCTAAACTTTCATTAAGTATCAGGAATTTCTAAAATTGTTACATGCAAAATGCCCATGGTTCTATGTGGTAGATACTGTAACCTCCATTTTACAGAAGAAAAAACTAACACCTTGAGAGACTTGACTAATGTCACACCACTGTAAATGCTAAATCCAGGAATATACAAGCAGTTGAGAGATCTTGAGAGGAAATTTAAATTCAATGACTTGATTAACTGTTTCTCAGTGGTATTTAATTAATAACTTCAATGCAAACATTTACTTAGAAACAATTGCAATAGGTTAACTTAAACCTGCCATTTACCACCTTGAACTGTCAAGCCTATGATCAGCCACCTATTTCAGCCTCATACAAAATAAACCTCTCCCTTGAGTAGCCGCCATCATCTTATAGTCAAGTGACTGTTTGTTTATTACAATTCTATTTCCCCAAGTGTTTGACATAACAGGAAAATAATTCCAAACTCATGCCAAACCTTAAATGCATTCTACAATTAATCTCCAAACCGCTCATTTATTCATTTAATGAATATTTAATGTCCACCAATATATTAGACACAATTCTTGCTGCTGAAGATTTAAAACCTAAGTCCTTATGAAGTTCATATTTTAATAGGAAAAAGAGATACCAGATAGAGACAGATTGATGGAAGGATGATAGGTAGATGGATTGATAGAGATAAAATAATGTGGATATGTCCTTGTGACAAAAACTGAGAGTTATCATCCAATAATCATTATCATCTTTGTAAGTTAAACTCTGAATTTAACTGGGTCCATGGCCACCCAGAATAAAATTCACATTTCCCAATCTCTCTTGAGCTGTGTATGGTTATGTGACTAAGTCCTGCCAAAGGGAGGTAAACAAAAGAGATCTGAGTCATATCAGGCTATGTTTGAAGGATATCATTCCTCTTTGTTTTTCCCATTGACTGAAATAAGAGCATGCTGACCAGAGCTGAAGCAGTAATTTAGGCCCAAGGGTCTTCATTTTAGGGACAAGGGAGCAAGAAGTTAGAGGTGACTGAGCTTCTGATAATTATATCAATCACATTAACCCTAGATTTTTTACCTATGGGAAAAGTTCATGTATGAGAAAAATAAATTTCCATCTTTTTTAAATTTCTGTTTTTAGGGTTTTCTGTCACATGCATTAGAATTTAATCTAAACTAATACAAAAATATTTTAAAGATAGAGCAGAGTAAGGGACTAGAGTGTGGCACTGTGTAGTATTTCAGACTGAGGGTGATTCAAGGGTGACTGAGGAAGGACTTTGAGGAATCAGCAGTTGGGAAGAGTTCTGAATGCATGAGTAAGCCAAGTGTTAGCAGGATGAGAGCATTCCAGGGAGTGGGACATAGTAAAAGAAAAAGGATACAGCAGGAACATGCTTCTGTGTTCAAAGATCAGCAAGGTGGCCAAGATGGCCTACCTTCTCAACTTCTTATCCTGATTCTCAAACAGGAATACTTGATTCCAGACCTTGAAGAGACAGGCAACTTTGCAGGCATTGTTCTCTACAGGCTCTCTTCAGGAAGACTCATGACTCAGCTATGAGTCTAAACTTTAACTTAGATAGATTCGAGGCTTAACCTTTAATGCCCATTACAAAAAGCTTCTCCACTTCATCCAAATATCACCCATTTTTCTGAAGTTAGCATAGGTTCTCACTCTTGCTTAAGGGATGGCATTATTTAAGGGATAGCTCTGCCCCATATTGCTTTCTTTCTTCTTGAAACTCCTTAGACATTACTGTCAGTGCTTTCACTTTGTTAATAATTCATCATTCTGTTCTAATTCAAGTACGTATTTTTTGCCACCTTGATTAAGACGAAATGTAATAGTTATATCTTCAAAAGTTTAAAAAATCTCTTTTGGCTATTAGCTCTTCAAACAGAAGGTGCTCCATAGAAACTTTCTGTATGTTCATTCAACCATCTCACAAGATAGAAACACAATGGTCCCTCCCTTTCGCCAGGAAGATATGAGTAGCTGAAGTATTTGGTGCTATATATAGTCAGTTGATGTCAGCTGGATGCCAGTCTCTTCAGAAAGGCTCAGTCTCCAGTTTGAGTCAGAACTAGGGACCATGCCGTCCCAGGCTCAAGGATAAAAACCATCGGGCCCAAGTGCCATCCATAGTCCATCTCCAGTCTTTCCTCCACAAATTGGGATTCATCCTTCCTGAAAAGCAAGGTGAGTATATTGTTTCTAAAATGTTGTATTAGTCAATTGTCCAAGGAAGTTCAGAGCTGTGACTCATTAATGGGCTTTCTTTGCTTTAAAGGACAGCTGTTGATGCCAATATTAAAATGCTGCCACCAAAGAGTTCTGATTTAATCTGGTGTCCTGTCTTCATTCTTAACAGTTTGCTGGAACTGAAGGCCAGTAAGGAAGCAATGACAGGTTAAAATAAACTGTGAAAGTGAGAGAGGAAGGGGAAAGGAAGCCAGCTCTTTCACTGTTTCTTATTGCCCAATAATGATTGTACTAGTATGTAGATAAGATGGCCTGAAACTCTGAGAATCAGCCTCTGTTCACTGTGACATTGCCTGTCAATGAACAGCATACTCTATCACCAAACAAGGAATGGTATTAGAGTCTTCCAGTAGAAAGCAATAATAAAGAACAAAGATGCTCTCCTTCAAAAGGATGATTATAAAATATTCCAAATGAGTTCTTCACATTGCCTCAATAATGTTCCTTTATTTTTAACAGGGAACAAAAAAAAAATCATGCTATCACATAATACCATGGTGAAGCAGAGGAAACAGCAAGCATCAGCCATCATGAAGGAAATCCATGGAAATGGTATCAATGACAATCCTTCATAGCATTAACAGCTCAGCACTAATGTAGACTGTTCCTGATATTATTTAATATTCTATAGTTTACTTTCTTTAAATTCTTGCTATTCTGTCATAACAAACCTGGAGCTCTAGGGGGTGTGGAAAAGCCTATGGTAACTAATCCTTTTGTAGTCATCCTTTCTCATTTGAAAGCTATTTTCAGATGAACAACTGTTCTAAAGGAATGAAGCAATCTGACAGCTGATGTACATTCTGCTTGGCTTGCCTTTCACACTTCACATTATAAGTTAATATCACCACTTTCAGATCATTTATTTTTTTCTTTTTCTGTTTTTTTTTTCCAGACAGGTCTCATGAAACCTTGCGTTCGTTGTCCATCCCACCAGATCTATATTGATTTCTTTTACCATAAATTACATAAATTATTCAAAATCTGTTCTACTATCCCTTTAGGAAAAAAAAATGTTGTTAAATTAGAATTCATATTAATTGTGAACTTCTTTAACACTGAAATAAGTCTTCATATTTAGTAACTGATTTACCAAAACATTTTGTGTGGAAATCTATTTATAATTTCTAGGAAAATATAGATTTCCTATAGTCTCAAAACATACAACTCAAAAAAATTTTTAATGTAAGATGCAAGATGATACGTCACTCTCTTCTTTAAGTTCTAGCAAAAATTCTAGAAACTAATACTTTATATGTTGCATTTTGATTGTTGTAAAGGAAATTCAAATTTGACTGTTATAAAAGAAATTGAGCAAAGGATAGTGTCAATTTTAAAAGCAAATAAGTGGAATATCTAGATTCCTTTAAGGGCTGATTTGAGCCATTCCAGAATGTATTTGTGGAGTTTTCAGGGCATCTTCTTATTTCCCTTCTATTGACAAGGAATGTGACCTTTTACCTGAACAATACTGAAACCTAGGGAAATGAGATCTGGTGAAGGCAGCTGGGACCAGGCATAAGGGTAGCATTTTCTTCTCTCTCTCTCTTTTAAACTTGTATTGGAGTATAGTTGACTTACAGCTTCACCTTCCATAATGCGAGCTGACTAGAACCAATCAAAGATTCTGTTAGATGCTTCTCCCATAATGTAGTCTTACTTAAGGATTCTGTTAGTTAAGTTTGTTTTGTTTTCATTTTTTGTAATACAAAATCACCATACTGTATTCAACTTAGTCCTGTGCTTTGCTATCATTTTGAGTTAGCTTGAAATAAAGAGAAGATAATTCTGAATCAGACCCCAGAACTAAATTTGTACCAATGTAAGGTTCCAAAATTCATGCTTCCTTTCATTTTTTATGCTTATTTGTATCTCCTGCTTCATGGAGTTTACTTGAAATTGTTTTGACAGATTCTCTGATCAGTAAAGCAAAAATCAGATAATCATTTGAGTCTGTGACTAAACTTACTTACCTTCAAACTAGGCTTGGGATAAATTATCATTTTCTAATTATGTCATAATCATAAATCAATCCATCATTTTAATTTATTCCCAGTTTCAATCATGTGTTGAATTCTACTCTATTACTGATACAGA